GTGTAATATAACCAACGGTTAAATATTTATAAATTTGTTTGATAATATTTTACATACTTTAATTAGATTCGAATAAAAAATTGAAATAATCCATTAAAACAAAAATTCCAAAACTAATTGATTGTAATAAAAACATTGTTCAATTTTTTAATACCAGCAATTTCACTTTATATACACGTAATAAACTAAAAAAACCAACGTGCTTTTTTAAATCTAATCTAATTTTGCTGCTTAATAATAAATATTAGGAAACATAAACCAAAATAAAAATGTTGACCTTTGTTATGAAGTAAAATATTTTGACATGACATGTTACAATGAAGTAGCAAAGCGTAAGTTATATTTTAATGGGTTTTAAAATAATTATGTATGAAGCTATTAAAATAGTATCTTACTGTCTGAATATTTTTAAATGCAGATTGTTTTTTCATATAATTACCAAAGTAATCAATATTCTGAATTTTTTAAATAACTATCATAAGTAAACAGAATAATAGAATTAGTTACGTTTTACGATAATTATACTGTTTTATTACTTCTTTTTATTGTTCTTTAACCACTGAAATACAAACAAAAAATACCTCATGGAAAATAGCTTTATTAAATTTACCAAATAACCGAAGAAAGAAGATACTAGTTATTATGCAGCTAGAAAGAAATATCCTTCAGTCATGTGGTAGGCTGACAAAATATTCTGTTAAGAACAATGAGAATATGTAATCGATTATAGTCCATCAGCAGATAATTCTAATAGATCCAGTTTTATATTAGCAAATTAATTAGGTCACAATTAATTAACTACTTTTGCAATTTATTAGTCCACAATTAATTCATTGTTTTTGAGCATGTCGCTAGTCGACATAAAAATACAAATTACTTATTTTTTAGATAAAAACTAATGTAATAGATAGAATATCGTTTGTAGACTATTATAAAACTATAAATAGACAAGATAGACATACAAGTTGTGTGTAAGGTCATATAGGTACCGAGTGCCAGATTAATTATTACTCAAGAAACAATTAATTATGGATAATCGTTTGGAGATTAATGCAAAATCAATTAGGTGTTAGTAGAATAAAAAAATTACTTATTTTTTTTTTAAATAAAACTATTATATTTTCACAACAAGTGAGCGTGGTTACTGACATTATAATATAGTCCATGTCGTGAAACCGCTGAATATTTCCGTGAAGGAAAAATGTTTATGATTCTGTTTCTTTGTGGATTTCTGTTCAAAAATGTCCACTTTGACTTAATCTGAAGGGTTCCGGGCAAAATTTTTGGTCATATCTTCTTAAACAAATATTCAACTAGTCAATAATCAATATTTTTAAACAAATTCCAAAAATTACCTTTTTAGCCCAGGATTTTTTTTTATTTTTCAAAATGTTACTAATAAATTACAAAATTTTAATAAATGTCAATTAAACAATTAACGTTAATTAACAATTAAAAAACAACGGTCTTAATTAAAGCAAAATCCGATTGCTCTTCAGAATCTTAAAATTGAATGTTTAAACTTTAAATTATTTACAAGGCAACGTCAAATATAACAATTTACAATGTTAAATACTTTTCAAGCCTCGAAAATGCGTATTTTCGTATTTTTCAGATTTTTCTCGCTTATATCATAATATCTATTTATAGATAAAATTAAATAAAATAAAATAAAATAAAATAAAATAAAATAAAATAAAATAAAATAAAATAAAATAAAATAAAATAAAATAAAATAAAATAAAATAAAATAAAATAAAATAAAATAAAATAAAATAAAATAAACTAAAATAAAATAAAATAAAATAAAATAAAATAAAATAAAATAAAATAAAATAAAATAAAATAAAATAAAACAAAATAAAATAAAATAAAATAAAATAAAATCTTATTATCAGATTTGTTCAAAGGGACATTTATGAACAAGAATCTTTAAAGAAACCAAATCAGAAATATTTTTCCTACGGGAGCGGTCTCACAACATGGACTTATAATTGTGAAGTATGCCTGTTAATTAGTCAGTTCATTTAGGTTAGGTTAGGTTGGGTCTTCCTCCTCTGGTAGTTACTGGGCAAATTGAAAAGCTCTGTCACTATCTGTAGAAGAATATAATAGAAAGAAATCATGGAGGTTTGAGGATGGGAATCAGAAATGATAAACGAAATAGTGTGATTGACTTTGCAGTGGTATGGGATTTGGCTGTCATTAATACGTTCTTTATGAAGACTCAAGACCAGTTTGTCACCTATAGTACTACGAAAAAGAAAAGTCGTAGATATTGTGTAGTCAACACCGACCGGTGATAGTGGATACAGAGAAAAAGGAAAGCAAGTAGGACACCAGAAAGTAAAGTGGTGGAAGTTTAAGGATTAGCATTTGGTAATAATGTTTAAGAGTAGAGTGCATGAAGAGCTTGAGAAAAAATATACGGTAAATCACTAGTGGGAAGCCAACATTAAAGTTGTGGTGCGAGTGGGAGAAAAAGTGCTAGGAAAAACATCTAGTAAAGGGCCTTTTAGAGACAAAGAAACTTGGTGGTGGAAACGATGAGGTGCAACAGAAGGTCAGAGAAAAGAAAGAGGCTGAAAGGAATTATGACAGGTCTAAAAGAGCGAAAGATAAAGTAGCAAAGAGGGAAGCAACGCGCGCTATAGCTACTACTGAGGAGAGATCGTCTGCACAGCTGTATGAAGAGTTGAAGACACCCGATGGGATGAAAAGGATATACAGCATTGCTAAATTAGGGGACAAATTATCAAAGGACTTGACCCACGTGCGGAAAATTAAGAGTTCGAATTGTTAGAGTGTTAAGAACGATGTTAAAATAAAGCAAAGGTGGTTTGAGTACTTGAGTAAGTTGCTAAATGAAGAACACCACAGGAGAGACAGAGGATGCAAGATCCCAAATGAGAATATAATACCGGGTATAGCGAGAGATGAAGTTAGCGATGCTTCAAATATGACAATGAAGGGTAAGCCAGTAGGACCTGATGGAATACCTGTGAAGGTTTAAAAGGCTCTAGGAGAGGAAGGAGTTGTATTTTGTGGCAAGTGATGAGTAGAATATATAAGGAAGAAAGGATGCCCGATGCATGTAGAGACAGTGTGATGGTATCATCGTATAAAGATAAAGGGGACATTCAGGACTGTAAGAAATATAGAAGGATAAAGTTAATGTTGTACACAGTAAAAAATTGAGAGAGAACTTTAAAGCAAAGGCTATGGGAGAGACATCGATAGGAGAAGAACAGTTTGGGTTTATGCCAGGAAGGAGGACAACGCATGCCTTGTTGAGACAGTTGACTGCGAGAAGAAAATACAGCTCTATCTGATATTTATAGATTTTGAGAAGGCGTACGACACAGTTCTTAGACCAGACTTATGGAGATGTATGAGAGAGAAATGGGTATGAACTGCTGTCAAATTGACCGAAAGGTTTCCAGTGACGTTTGGTTTGCATCAGCACTGAGTCCCTACCTGTTTAGTCTTGTTATAGATGTACTGACAGAGAAAATAAGGAAGGGAGCTCCTTTGTTAATGCTCTTTGCTGAGGATATCGAGTTAGTACAGAAAAACAAAGAAATTTTGGAGAAGTTGGAGTATTGAAGAAGGGCTACTAAAAAAAATTACTTAAGGTTAGCAGGTCGAAAACGGAGTATATGTGGTTACGAGAAAGAGAGAATAATTTGGGGCGTAGAATTGCTTGGAGAAAAGCTAAAATAAGTGAGAGAATTTAAATAACTTGGCTCCTACATAACGGAAAATTTCACACTAGATCGAGAAATCGCCCACAAGATACAGGTTGGTTGGTTTAACTGGTTATGTGGAAGCCAACGAGCGGGATACTTTGTGATTGAAAAATCGGGGAGGCCGAAAGTATAGCATGTAAAGAAGATTTTGGATTTTGGGTAAGACTAGAAGGAGCAGGATCAGATGACTTAATTAGTGTAAGAACGGGGGTAACTACAGTCTCAAAAAAGATTCAAGAACAAAAACTACAATGGTTTGGTCATGTCAGAGGTAGAGATGAAAAACTATGTTAAACAAAGGATAGAGGTGTTAGAAGTTGATGGAAGAAGGGGTAGGGGAAAACCGAGAACATGAAAGGACTGTGTGGCCGATGACTTAAGAGAGAAAGGTTAAGGTGAAGAAGACCTAAGTAGACCTGAAATAGACAGAAACGAGTGGCGATGAAGAGTAAGTAACAACGACCCCTGAAAAGGGAAAAATTTGGGGAAGAAAGAGAGGAACAAGAAGTCAGTTCATTTAGTCAATAAACATACAAACTTGTGTAATTTTAATTGGATACCTTTGCTTGCAAGGATTAGAGGCTAAACGGAGAAAATTAGATATGCAATGATAAAAAAGATGTGATATTCTATTCCTTATGTCCATTTTTCCTGTTTCTCGCTATATTTAAACAATGATTTGAATTTAAACACTTTGCGGAATATTTTGGTTTGGGTTGCTGTAGAAGCTCTGGAAAGATAAGATTTTTCAAAGTACTTTTTCCAGTCGAAAAAATATTTTGGACTAGTTATTTTTTTGTTATCGGGTCCTGAAAGTTTCTTTAGTGTGGAATAAGTTGATATATGGTAAAAATAAACATGAGATTTGCTTATAAAAGATCGATTTAAGTTGTTTATTAGTTCTGTCATCGTTATCAAAACGGTGCATTATTTTTATGAAATTTATTTTTATTTTTTCTTTAGTTTGTTCTTTACTTGAAGGAATTGACATATTTTTTGTATGTTTGGCATAAAAATGTGTTGAGCATTCAAACAAATACTAAAATAAAAAGTGATGAAGATATTTATTGATTAATTGTAAAATATGTATTACAAATGAATTATTTATTCAAAATAATTGGGATAGAAAAGGATAACTTTCATGCGTTATTACCAATAATATTTGAATTATATTTTCATATTTTAGAGAAATAAATATTTGCCTATCGTGTATAAGTGATTTTTTCTAATGTATTCTTATCTTAATTTTAGGTCTCAAATTTGGGAGGCAAGACGATGGTTTACTGCGTAGCGGGAGTCAGTCGTTCTGCCAGTATCTGCATAGCATACCTCATGAAATACCACAAACTATCTTTACTGGAATCCTACAATTACGTAAAACTTCGAAGGCCCAGGATCAAACCTAACTGCGGTTTCTTTAAACAGCTTATAGAGTACGAGAAGCAACTGTTTGGTTGTAATACTGTCCAGATGGTGTTCAATGAGTTTGTTCAAATGGAAATACCTGACGTATATGATGCTGATTATAGGCCCATTACTAGTTATTCTAAAAAGATAAAAAATGGAAGGTACTGAGGTGTATCACACTGATCACGAAGATTTCGACTGAAACGTACCATGTATATATAGGTAGGGAATATAATAAGAACAGACCAGTATAACAGGTTTTTTGTGACTTGTTTAGTCATTAGTCATTCTCCTAATTTAATTGAATAAAAAAACATATTTCAAAGACATATTCGTTTTTGTTTAAAATATAGTCAGATAAATCGTAGCAGCCTATAATTTTGTCAGAATTATATAAAATTTTCAATATATACTTGCAATAAAGTTAGTTTCGTTATGATGAACAAATGGGGTAATACAAAAATGGTGTTATTAAAAGTTTGATAACCCCTGGTCTTAAACGTAGCTTTTGTAATAATTTTATTCGATATAACTTATTATGTGTAATATTTTACTCCTAAATGTTCTATTACTTATATAATGTAATTAAACATATTGAAAATATAATACGGATTTACAAATTTTTGTTGAAACATCATGAATGAAAAAGAAAAAATAATTTTTGTTATGAATGCATTATCTCGAAAAATGAATTGGAAATTCCTAAGACCATATCGATCTTAGCACTTTCTAGTAGTTTACAGTATATAATCTGTTATTTAGTGATAATATACAATTCTGATAATACGTTTACCAAACAGTAAATGAATATCCACAGCTAAAAATTAAGAGTAACAACTATGATCACATTTAGTGTCATTTAAGGTATTGATGCTGATCTCGCATTTATGGTTCTAACTGTCGGTAAATTTGCTTTAATTTTTTATTTATTATAAAATAAAATTGTTCAAGTTCAATAATTGTTTTTTAAAATACAAACTAAAGCCGCGTAGACACTTGAGCATTCGTCCTGAATGAGCAAATGATCCCAAGTTTAGGGATCCATTCTCCCGCACGGCATGCCCGTATGAGCAGTGAATAGGAAGTAGAGATCCGAACATCGGAATTCAGTCTGCCCTATTAAGTCATGGTGATGAAAAGATTCTAGTTGAAAGTTTTTCCCAGATTTATATACAGGAAACTATTTAAAAGAAACCACAAAAAAGCGATGGTGGCAGAGAAACTACACACGGAAGGAAATGCTCAAATGTTGGGTATGAAAAAGACTTCAGAAACTTTACTCGAATGTCACCAGTGAATTTTGATAGTAGAAAGGACAATATTTTCAGAAAGCCAATATCTCTAGCGTGTCTTAACGCTTAGCTCTAATGCTTAGATTTCTGGCTACTGGTGATTCAAACAGCAGTTTGCAGTACCTATTTAAAATTTCGAAACAAGCGATTGAATGAACAATTTCTGAAGTGTGTTAAGACATAGTAGACTGTGGACTAGCTTCTGGAGTTGATCGCAAAAAATTAAAAATTATTCAGGTCCTGATCGAATAATTTCAGGCTTCTGAGGCAATGTGACCGCGCTAACAAGCTGCGGTGACGGATTATTATGTCAGTTTTTATTAAATTACGATAAGTAGAAGTTCTTCATCTTCTTACTCTTTATAAGCAATTCTGCTTGTTCATTGGCGGATTAACACCTCTATGGAAGGTTGTCACTCAGTCTTGTGCGCGGTCGTTCGATACTTCTTCGCCGATTGGTGACTTATCTCTTGCTATTTTGACGACACGAGTCTCCTCAATCTGCTTATGTGGTTATTCCATTCTTTTTTTCTATTTTGTGTCTATACATTTATTACAGCGTAAGTTACATTTTATAGATATACATTTGACATTTGTGGATCTGAGAAAGGCGTATGACTCTGTACCAAGGTCATAACTATGGAAAGCAATGTGCAAATTAGAAATACAGACGGAACTCATAGAAGCTACAAAAGCTCTGCATAAAGAAAATATAGTGTCGAATAAAATGGGAACAAGAATCATAGGACACTTCACTACAACAAAAGAGCTCCTTGCAGGGTTGTTTCACCATCTTCAGCCCTGTTTAAAATATACTTAGAAGAAGCCTTGATTACATGGAAAAGAAAATGCGAAGGCATGGGAGTACTGGTACGAAACGAATACCTATATACGTTAAGCTTTGCAGATGATTAAGTATTGAGTGAACAAGACCAAGAAGACCTCAGTTATATGATAAAGAAACTACAACAAGAATATACTAAGGCTGATCTATAAATGGACCTCGCAAAAACAGAGTATCTATGTACAAGTAAAGAAGACATAGATCTTCAGATTGATGACAACGGAACAGTCAAAGGAATGGATAAATTCAAATACTTGGGGTTTATAATAACGAAAAAGACAACAACTAAGGAAGAAATTAAGCAAAGATAAGGACAAACAGAAATCCGAAAACTTAACTTGGTGTGGTGAAGACACCAAAATATGAAGACAAAAACATAGATTTATACAAGATTAGTGCGAAGTAGTATGACCTATGGGGCTGAAAATTCGATTATAAACAAGAAAAACAGCAGTAAGATAGTAGCAATAGAGATGGAATTCCTGCGAAGATGCTGCAGAGTAACAAGAATAAATAGGAGAAGTGATGACGAAATAAAACAAAGAACATCAATACAAACAGATATACCAACATATGTAGAACAAAAAAGACTAAAGTGGTATGGAAATGTAAGAAGAACTAGCGACAGCAGATGGAAAAAGAGAATAGCCGAATGGAGCCCAATAGGAAGGACGAGAAGAGGACGACCCTGAAGATCTTGGAGGAACAAAGTATACGACGCTATGAGTAAGAAAGGCCTAAACGATGGAGAATAGGACAATAAAAAGAGATGAAAACAGTTGAGCAACGGAAAATTGGACACTAGATCGAGAAATCGCCCACAAGATACAGGCTGGTTGGTTTAACTGGTTATGTGGAAGCCAACGAGCGAGATACTTTGTGATTGAAAAATTGGGGAGGCTGAAAGTATAGCATGTAAAGAAGATCTTGGATTTTGGGTAAGACTAGAAGGAACAAGATCAGAAATGACTTAATTAGTGTAAGAACGGGGGTAACTACAGTCTCAAAAAAGATTCAAGAACAAAAACTACAATGGTTTGGTCATGTCAGAGGTAGAGATGAAAACTATGTTAAACGAACGATAGAGGTGTTAGAAGTTGATGAAAGAAGAGGTAGGGAAAAACCGAGAACATAAAAGGACTGTGTGGCCGATGATTTAAGAGAGAAAGGTTAAGGTGAAGAAGACCTAAGTGGACCTGTAAGAGAGGCCTAAACGATGGAGAATAGGACAATAGAAAGAGATGGAAACAGTTGAGCAAGGGAAGGCAGCTAATCCCTGTAGAATCCCTGAATATATATATATGCGTTACATTTTCTTCTAATGTCTTCACTTATCTTTCGATCTCTCAACGTATTTTTGTAATTCTTCTTAGCACTCTTATCTCTGCCGTTTCCAGTAGCCTTTATGTTGTGCCTGTGTCGGCACATTATTACTAAGGCACATGGTATTATTGTTCTTACGCTGGCTTTGTAGATTCTTGACTTCATTTAAGGTTAGAAGAGATGTTAGAAGTACAATAGCAATATTTAAAATACGAAATTAATACGGACGAATATCATATCAGGCTTACGGTTGGAAATCAGTAATTACGCAATTTCTTACAAACAATTTGTGGACAGTAGGCAGTGCCATGTATCTACATCGAAAGCAAATTAGTGATTTAACAAAATTATTATTTTATAACTATTGGTAGTAGATGAATCATTAGATGCCTCAATTATATTTTTATTTATAAGCATTTACAATACAAGTATTTTCAGAAATCTATGTATTTTATTGTCAAGGCCCCAATTTAGTTGTAGTAGTCGGTAGTGAATCGCTTGTCTTTAAAATATTTTGTGATGGAAAACAGGCACTACAAGACTGGTCACCCCCGCTGTATGTAATTTTTGCTCGTTCTCTCCAGTATGAACCATTGAGGCTGTCCACTTTCTTCCGACAATCCTTTCTTGTCATTTGAATTGGGCCGAAAATTTGCTCCCATGTATCTTTTTTTTCATGAGTTTTTGAAATAAAATTTGTCTTAAATCCAAAGCAGTGTAAATATGCGAAAATAATCGATAAGTAAAAGACAGTTGTATTAAGACGTTTCAATTTTATGTCTTTTTATTATGCAATAAATATATTAAATTGCACACATAGTGCGTGTGCGGTCCAATTCACTACTAAAAAGAAAGAGTTCAGAGTAAAGAGCAGATGTCTGTTTCGCCATTCGGTGCGTCTATAGTTTTAATACTTCCGTACTCACCAAGCACGAAATGAATGTGTGCCCACTTTGAACTAATGACAACTCTCGACTTGGGCTGAGCGGTATGGACCAGTTCTGCTCACCCCGTATTTATCTGAGCAAAACAGGGCGAACGAATGCTCAGTTAGGGCGAATGCTCAGGTGTATACGAGCAGGAAGTTAATACGTACGCCATTGTTCACAAACATATTGGCACGTGAAAAACATAATTGTTCAATCTCAAGAAAATTAATAATTCCTACAAACGATGAGCCTCTTATTATTGGATTGTTACTTTTTTATTTGAACGCAGAACAATTGTTGCAACATCAGTTTTACTTATTATGTACTTTTACAAGAAAGCTTGTTTAATGATACTGGGAGTGTATTAAGAATACACTTTTTCAAAAACTTAAATTACTGTGCAATTATATAGCGAGATTTTAATCATATGAAGAAAAGTTGATAATATTTATTGCAACTATTGAAAATATTTATATAATTAAATTAGAGAGTCATCTTAACCCTGTTTATTATAAGTTTGTGTATAAAAAGAAAATATAAAACAAAAATAATGGAACATTTAGCTGAGCATCTGTGTTTTATGTAATAACTTTTGTACCTGATTAGGTAGTAGAGTTTTATACTTATCTATGTTAGTTTAAAAAAGATATTTAAATATCATTACATACTAGGCAATCAGAATGTCCACTCTCAGATGCCGCCTTTGAAGTTTTTCAGCACGCGCGCCATGTTTTAGAAGGAAACACAGACACACAGACATATGATTTGTGAGGTTATGTA